GGCAAAGGTAGCTAGCTCTGTAATTTTTTAAAGTTTTATGTTTCTTTTTTATCTCTTTTTTTTCAACTTAAAGTGAAAAATATCAGTTACTCAATTTACCCAAAGGCCTTTGCGGTAGATCCATTTGCAGAAAACACCATTTTAGAAAACGTCTTTTAAGTAAAAGGAAATAAACGCTTTACTGATTATGGGTAACTAACTGTTTAAAAATACAAGCAAAACTCTTTTTGAAGTAAAAATTATAAATGGTTTTCTAAGTATCTTTTAAATCTTCAATTTATATATTTTTTTTATTATGTTCAGTTACTAAAATTAATGGATCGTGAAATATGATTCAAGTAAAGGAAATATTTTCCAAAACTTTCTTATCTATACAATTTTGTTTCTTAGTTCCAAATTGTTTGGAATGATCTTATGCATTAAGTTACCAATAAATGAAAAAAAATTGCCACAAAATTCGTTTTTAAAGGAGTTAATGATTGAAAACGCGTTAAATATTTTTGTTCATCACAAAGAATTTCACCCTTTTTATTTTGAAAGTACATAAAAGAATTAAATTTATTTTTTATTAAAGGTATTTTTTTTTAAAATTAATACTTAAAAATATAGAATTTACCAAAAAAACTATTTATATTTTTTTAATCATATGTACTTATGTGTTTTTTTATTACTTTTTACATCAAAATACTATAAAAAAAACACTAGACAATAATTGCTTGAGCGTGATATTAACCTCTAAAAGTCATGACTGGGCTTCATTTTTTATTCGAAATATATTTATGCCATACTTTATTTTTCCTCCTTACTGTAGCAAATAATTTATTTATTCCATATCGACAAAACTGTAAGAAAAGCATTTATAAAACAGAAAAACTCATGGTTTTATAATATTTTTAAATCAAAAAACATATTACTTTACGATTTTTTTCTCAAATAACTATTTCACAACACTCTCTAATGATAAATAACGAATCAATACGGCATGATATCCGTTAAAAAAGCACTCTAAGCATGTACACAGCCACAAACAAAAATGGAATATTAGCAAGGCCCACAGTTTTCTAATAATATCTGCCCAATTAAAGATATATCATTCCTTTTCTACGGATATCAAGACATTTTTTTGAAGTTACTTTGTCCAAAAAAAACAGAAAAATAAATGTACAGTTCCACCCACTTCAGAAAAATATTAATCTACTCCCGTTTTATAAATAAGGTTGATTGTTATTACGACTAGCAAGGCTATTATTTATATTACTATTGTTCTCTCCAAAAACAGCAAAATAAGACAAATTTCATAAACAATAATTGTTTGAGCTTTTTATTAAGCTTTAAAAGTAATGATTATACTCAATTTAACCGAGCTTCATTTTTCATTCAAAATAAATCCGTGCGATACTTACTTTTTTCTCTTTATTATAACAAATTATTTATTTATTCCAGATGTAGAAAATGTGAGGAGAACATTTAAAAATGAGAAAAACTCATTATTTTAAAAGATTTTGAAATCAAAAACATATTACTTTATTTATGAAAAATTTCTTTTCACAAATAAGTATTTCACAGCACTTACCAATCATAAATAATGAATCGAGCAGATATGATATCCCTTAAAAAAATCTCTCTAAACATGTACGCAGCCACTAACAAAAATAGAAATTTCTCGAGGCACAAATTTTTCCAATAATATCTGCCCAATTAAGAATATCGCGTTGCTTTTTTGATGGATATCTATAAAACTCACTTTTGAAGTTACTTCGTCCATGAAAAGATATAAGTAGAAAGGCAGTGTGACGTGCTATTTACCACGCAAAAATAAATAAATAAAAAAAAGAAATAGCATCTTCTCTGAGAGTATAGCAAAAAACTATTTTCATCTTTGGTATAAAATAAAGTAAGTTTCCAGGTTTGCTTATTTCTGGAAATATAGGGTGTGAAGGAGAAAGATTTGATAGATAAAAAGATGCACTTTTCTTGATTAGCTTCTCAGCTAGATAGATAGGACTTTTAGGTATTTTATTTTGATTATATTTTGAGTCATTTTTATGTTTTTATATTAGATAAATAAATCGAATAGTTTTTTTTCTTTAAGTCACATTAATAGTTTTTCTCGAGAAAAGTGTTTTAGAATTTTTATTTAAGATTTCGGTATTGATTATTGTTTTTGGAGAAAAATAAAACTGAAAGGTAATAGTAAGCGTGAATTGGAAGAAAGATAAATGCTTTTTATTTATTAGAATTCCAAAAATGCCGAGGGATTTATTTAATGCAAGAATTTCAATACCACAGGTTGCAAAAAAAGTTGCAACTTAAGGAAAATTCATTTTTCTTATTTAAAAAAATATCCTACTTCATCTGTAGATATTAGGTCTTACACATGA